TAGTACCCAGGCTGCTGTATGCACTCAGTTTCGCCCAGACTCATGCCTTATATATATTTTTAATGGCTAATAACTGATAAATAGTATAGTACTAATAAATTAATGTAGAAATTCTTGAAATCTTAGCCTACCTTTCACCTCACACTTTCTACTTCCTCTTTTTTCTTGATTGCTTCTTTGTGCTTTATTGTGTAAGTTTGACCTCGTCATTATTTACCTATTAAACTTTGAAAACGCCTCAGTCAAACTCTGATTGGTTGAGGCGTGTCAGCCACACTGTTATTGACTGAGGGGCGCCAGTCTTTCCCTCTGCCTCAGGCAGAGGGAAATATAATATAAAATAGTATAATATATAACATAATATATAATATAATGTAATATAAAACAAGAGTACAATTTCCTTCTGCTCTTGTATGCAAGGTATATCATATGCTAGCTCAGCCAGAGTATACATTGTACAAAAATTCTGCGCTCTACAGGGATATATTACTCCAAAATCAATCTTCATAAATTTAAGTGTCGTTATTTGTACTTCAACCCTCCAGTCAATTGTTTTGCAACTGATAACATTAGGAGAAATTTTTCTAACTAATTAATCACCTGTGTTATAAACTGGATCCAATATTCTTGCATACGGTTCATTATTACTGTCAATGAATGATTTTTTTCCGTGTAAACTGCTGGTTACTTCTGTAAATTGAAGTCCTGACCCAGTTATGTTCGTCTCGGATCTTTATACTCTATTTCATACGACAGACGAGGCAAGCACAACAGAGCTGTGAAGTCATATAAACCACAGTTCCATCATAGCTGCCACATTAGTAGTGTCAATTTTTGTTTTTGCATGGACCTGCCTAGTATGGGCCAACAGGCCTGCTGCAGTGATCCTCCTTTCTTATGTTCTTATGTACCGTATTTTCTGGAGTATAAGTCGCACGAGCATATAAGACGATGTGTCCAAGCAATTGTAACGTAACGTTAGTAAACAGCTGATAAAGCGTAACAAAAAGCCTACCCTTGACCCTGACCTTGAGCATATAAGGCGCGGGCTGATTTTCAAAGACTTTTGTGGGGAAAAAGGCGCTTCTTATATGCCGGAAAAATACGGTATATATATATATATATATATATATATATATATATATATATATATATATATATATAATATATATATATATATATATATATATATATATATATATATATATATATATATATATATATATATATATATATATATATATATATATATATATAAGGTGCTAAACTATATGGGTCCTTCACTGTGAGGATTGCTGGAGGATGGATCCTTTCTTCGCCTTTACCGAGACAGACGTGCGGCTCTCGCTTCATTTTTCAGTATTGGTTCGGTACTGGAAGTTAATTTTAACATAATGTCTTTGAAGTTTTTCTATTTTGTCAACTTGTTTCTGTACGCTAACATCACACTATTACTAAATATTTCATCTTTGGTTTGACCTATGGTGTACTTTTTTTGCTTTTAGTATTTGACTGTACATATATCTGGCATACCTATTTGCAGTTGCAAGGGTCGAATCATAACTCCTGGCTGTGTGTGTGTGTGTGTCTTTGTTTGTGTGTGTGTGTGTGTGTGTCTGTGTCTGTGTGTGTGTGTGTGTGTGTGTGTGTGTGTGTGTGTGTGTGCGTGTGTGTTTGTACGCTTGCATGTATTTTGCATTATTTTACCCCATATAAAATGTTGCCTCGCTTGAGCCCAACTTTTTGATATGCAAATTGGCAGTCAATATTCCTTATCGCATGAGAGTGAAAGTCTGTCACAGCACACTCTCCCTGGGGATGTGCCGCCACACTTTATTGCAAAAAAATAAATTTAGCAAATTTAGAATACCTAAATTATGTCATAGGTGTGTTGCAGGTGTGGTATAGGTATGCTACTGATATATTACGAGTTACATGTGCGTTACTGGAATGTTACAGGTGTATTACAAGTGTCACTTGCGTTACAGGTTTGTTACAGGTATGTTACTGGTGAATTACAAGCGTCACTTGGGTGTCACAAGTAAACAGAAATTCGTATCAATAGTTTTATAAATATTAGGGTTAAAAATAGTTTCCTCTTTCCTTACATTAATTGAATTAATAAATGACGCGAAATAATGAGATTGAATATAAATTGATTGATAGCTCTAGGCCTTTCGTGTTGCAAATAACACATCATCATTTCTGATACAGAAATGAGTAGGAAGTCCAGGTACATCCGTTCAAGGGAACTATTCTAGCTAGAGTAGTTCTCTTCAACGGATCTACCTAGACTTCCTAGTCATTTCTGCAACAGTGCAAGTCCTAATAATGTGTTGATTTGCAACACGAAATGAAGAGAGTTATCATTTAACTCCCCGCGTGGTTTTGTGTGTGTGTGTATATATATATATATATATATATATATATATATATATATATATATATATATATATATATATATATCGGCCGATTCCCACCAAGGCAGGGTGGCCCGAAAAAGAAAAACTTTCATCATCATTCACTCCATCACTGTCTTGCCAGAGGGGTGCTTTACACTACAGTTATGAAACTGCAACATTAACACCCCTCCTTTAGAGTGCAGACACTGTACTTCCCATTTCCAGGACTCGAGTCCGGCCTGCCGGTTTCCCTGAATCCCTTCATAAATGTTACTTTGCTCACACTCCAACAGCACGTCAAGTATTAAAAACCATTTGTCTCCATTCACTATCAAATACGCTCACGCATGCTTGCTGGAAGTCCAAGCCCCTCGCACACAAAACCTCCTTTACCCCCTCCCTCCAACCTTTCCTAGGCCGACCCCTACCCCGCCTTCCTTCCACTACGGATTTATACACTCTCGAAGTCATTCTGTTTTGTTCCATGAGTTGATGAGAAGAATTAAATCGGACGAGGATGAGGCAGGACTGCAAAGAGACCTGGACAGGCTGGACATGTGGTCCAGTAACTGGCTTCTCGAATTCAATCCAGCCAAATGCAAAGTCATGAAGATTGGGGAGTGGCAAAGAAGACCGCAGACAGAGTATAGGCTAGGTGGACAAAGACTACAGACCTCACTCAGGGAGAAAGACCTTGGGGTGACCATAACACCGAGCACATCACCGGAGGCACACATCAACCAAATAACTGATGCAGCATACGGGCGCCTGGCAAACCTGAGAATAGCGTTCCGATACCTTAATAAGGAATCGTTCAAGACACTGTACACTGTGTATGTTAGGCCCACACTGGAGTATGCAGCACCAGTCTGTAACCCACACCTGGTCAAGCACGTCAAGAAGTTAGAGAAAGTACAAAGGTTTGCAACAAGGCTAGTCCCAGAGCTCAAGGGAATGTCGTACGAGGAAAGGTTAAGGGAAATCGGACTGACGACACTGGAGGACAGAAGGGTCAGGGGAGACATGATAACGACATACAAGATCCTGCGGGGAATAGACAAGGTGGACAGAGATAGGATGTTCCAGAGAGGGGACACAGGGACAAGGGGTCACAACTGGAAGCTGAAGACTCAGACGAGTCACAGGGACGTTAGGAAGTATTTCTTCAGTCATAGAGTTGTCAGCAAGTGGAATAGCCTAGCAAGTGAAGTAGTGGAGGCAGGAACCATACATAGTTTTAAGAAGAGGTATGACAAAGCTCAGGAAGCAGAGAGAGAGAGGACCCAGTAGCGATCAGTGAAGAGGCGGGGCCAGGATCTGAGTCTCGACCCCTGCAACCACAATTAGGTGAGTACAATTAGGTGAGTACACACACACACACACACACACACACACACACACACACACACACACACACACACACACACACACACACACACACAAACAAACAAACAAACAAACACTAGCTGCGATGGTACCATTGTAGCAACAATCATATTTCAAATTTTCCTGTGTTGATTCGACCTTTGTTTTGAGGTAAACTGCGGCCGGTGCTGCCTAACTCACCCGCGGCCCTCGCAACACCACTGCAAAAATATATATACCGACCCAGAGAGAGAAATTCACTTTAGAATTGTTGTGTATGCTCGATTGTGTCAGAAAATAGTGCATGATCAGATTTCCCGAATTTTGCTCAGTATTTCGCGTGAATTTTTGTATTTTCTAAAAACTGGGCTCATCCCGGCCAGGATATTGTAGCCTTGCATCACAAGGTACAGGTCAAAGGTCGCGTTAACAGTGTCCGTTTTTAAACACTAACTTTGGTTTCCTGTGACAAGAGATCAAAGGTCGGGGTCACGAGAATTACCACAGCCTTCCCCACTACCTCCGCCTCAGCCTTCCCCACCACCACTACGATCTTCCCCACTACCACCACCACAACCTTCCCCACTACCACCACCACAACCTTCCCCACTACCACCGCACACTCCCCATCACCGCCACAACCACCATGGTACTACCACTCCACCACACTGTCTCCTCATCATGTACTCACTAACCACGTCAACATAACTACTCAAGCTCTTTTAAACTTCTTAATAAGAAATCTAGCCACCACTAAGCTTCACAGACTCAAACAACTTTTGCTCTTCCAACACAGTTTTACAGAGCCTCTAAGCTTGCCAGAGCTTGAATAATGCGAATAAAATGCTTAATAATAATAATAATAATAATAATAATAATAATAATAATAATAATAATAATAATAATAATAATAATAATAATAATTATTATTATTTATTATTATTATTATTATATTATTATTATTATTATTATTATTATTATTATTATTATTATTATTATAATAATAATAATAATAATAATAATAATAATTATAATAATAATAATTATAATAATAATAATAATAATAATTCTCTTCCTCATCATTTTCTTCTTCTTTTTCTTCTTATTCTACTTCTTCTTTAGTGAGAATTTCATGTGAACAAAAAGCAAATATCAGAAATATAAATAAGAAGTATTTCAACAAGTACTGTACATGTACACTTTGCCCCGTGATGACCATGATAGTATTTGCAGGTGTTTTACTGGTTCACTGCGGTGGTGTTTATCCTGCTGCCGCTGGTGCTGCTGGCGGTGTTCAACTCCTTCCTGATCCATGTGGTGAGACAGAGCAGAACACAGAGACGCACCATGACAAACCAGAGAGTAGAGAGGGACACTCACTCACAGTCACAGGAATATAAGATCACAGTAATGCTCATCGCTGTGGTTCTCCTGGCTCTCTTGTGTCAGCTTCCCGTGGCTATCCTACTTCTCTACCAGTCCTTCTACGTGGTAAGTGGGCGAGTGTGTTGTTAGAAGGAAGTCTTTACAGTGAAGTGCACTCACGGTTGTGTTAGTTCATTCGCAAGGAAAAACTACTCGATGTGGGTCTTTGTCATTAAACCAATTGCACTAGAAGTATGGTGGGTGTAGAAGAGGGGCTTGTAGGTGTCTAAGGACACATTTAATAATGGAGTAGTCCTTAACTCCATGGTAAGCCATGACAGCAGCGACAGTTGCCTTATTAGTGCTTGACTTAGTGGTCTGATTGGACTTCGTGGTCTGAGTGGACTTAGTGGTCTGAGTAGAGTTTTGGTGAAATTACCATTTTAGGGTCACGTGAAAATTCACAACCCTGTCCCTTCCAAGTGAAAATTCTTATATGTGTTTGTTAAAGCACTTGTACGTTACAGAAATTCTAGCAAAGATAGGTAAGGATGTTAGATTAGCTTTATTCACATTACTAAAAGTACCATATTTAAAATTTGCTGAACTTTAGATAAGTGTTATCCCCAGGGGTGAATTTTAGGGTAATCTCTATTTGCAGCTGTATGTTTGTTGCTACTGGAGCAGAGTTACATTAGATGTGTGTGAAAAAATCTGTATGCGTGTGCCTCTATTTAGGTTTGTGTACATAACTTGACTATACACCAGCGCGAGAGATGCATCAGTATTGAAGTTATTAAGGTGAGTTAGAAAGAGGTTATTTACGCAAAAAAAGCGTTTTAATTTTGTCTTTATGCAACGTTATCACAGTTTGTGTAACTCAATTTTTATTGTGTTTGCCATATACTTGTCTACGCCTATGAGAGTTGAGTGACTAACGCAGACGAACTGAACAAAAACTCAGCCATAAATTTATAGTTTTGAAACATGGTTACATACACTGAAAATAAAAACGAGACGAGAAGAAAACGCCCTCCTTAATGTTAGATTTGCCATACTTTCACAGAATATATAGTGCTGATCCTTGGTGTACTGAGAATACCCAGTAGTAGTAGTGGTACCAGCAGTAGTAGTAGCAGTGGTAGTGGTGGTACCAACAGCAGTAGAAGTAGTAGTAGTGGTAGTGATGGTGGTACCAGCAGTAGTAGTAGTAGTAGTAGTGGTGGTAGTAGCAACAGCGGCAGTAGTGGTAGTGGGGTACCAGCAGCAGTGGTAGTATTAGTACCATTAGTAAAATTAGAAATAAAGGTAGTAGGATTATTAATGGTATTACAGTAGAAGTAGTGGTATTCATAGTAGTAGTAGTAATAGTAACAGTAATAACAATAGTATTAAAGTAAACGCAGTACAGTAGTAATAATACTAATAATAGTAATGCTAGTATTACAGTAAAAGTAATAATATTATCAGTATTACTAGCACCAGTAGTAATACTAGCACTGGTACTAGCATTATAGCAGTAGCACTACTGGTAGTATTGATATAATAAGAGTAGACGTAGCACTACTAATACCAATAGTAGTGTTAATTGTAGAAATGGTACTAGTAATTGTAACCATCAAACACGTAAGAAGATGTAACACTGATTAGTACGAGTAACCAGACAGACACTGTATTCCAAACTTTGCAAGAATCACCGCGGTTCACCGCTAGCAACGTTATCAGGCAATACTTGAGGTAGCCTTCATCACACTCACAACTCAGAGCACCTGCTGACTCTGGAACATCAGCAAGCTACCTCCGTGTCCAGCAGTGATGTAGCACGTAAATAAAATGAATTTAGTGCATTCTTAGTGGCGTTACACGAGACATATTGATCGCCGACTCATCTAAATGTAAATATGTTTACCCCCTTTTATTCACCGACTTATCTTTGTTTTCTTGTCCCTTTTCCTATCTCTTCTTGCATATTTGAACTGCCCTTCCTGTGTCTTCTTTATTTGGTATTCTGCCTTTCCATCCTATTCTCGATAGTTACCGTCGCGTTTGTGTTTTCTTTACTGCTTATTATCTGCCCTTGTTCTTTCGTTATAAGTATCCATATGTTAAAAATTGCGCTGTTCCATCTCTGTCTAACAGTCTAAACCCAACTCGATCGCCTTCTACATCGAGCTTGGCTTAGGCAACATCTTCAACTTGCTGTCGGCCATCAACGCCGCTTGCAACTTTGTATTGTACTGTGCCATGAGCGACAAGTACCGGCGCACCTTCCTGCGCACCTTCTGCTCCCGCTGGTACCGTCAGCCCTCGCCGCTGCACTCCTGGATGGCTACGGCTTACAGCAATGTGGAGGATGGAAGTCCACGCTTCTCCAGGATGTCCTCCATGCGCATGTCTCGCCGCTCTTCACACAGGTTTGTCTGAGATAAGAAGGGATTTGTGGGGTTGTGGGTAAGGTTTGTTGATGGTAGGGTTGCAGGGTCTTGAGCTGGGGCTTGGCTTGGGGTATGACAGGGAGACGAACAGAAAGACACCGTCAAGATTCATGCAGAGCTACACTGACGAGACAATAGCAGAAGCTCTCTCTCTCTCTCTCTCTCTCTCTCTCTCTCTCTCTCTCTCTCTCTCTCTCTCTCTCTCTCTCTCTCTCTCTCTCTCTCTCTCTCTCTCTCTCTCTCTCTCTCTTTCTCTCTCTCTCTTTCTCTTCTCTCTCTCTCTCTCTCTCTCTCTCTCCTCTCTCTCTCTTCTCTCTCTCTCCTCTCTCTCTCTCTCTCTCTCTCTCTCTCTCTCTCTCTCTCTCTCTCTCTCCTCTCTCTCTCTCCTTACCTCTTTGTTTAACACATGGCGAGATGGTAGAGACAGGACCCATACTTAGCTTTAAGAAGAGGTATGATAGGACTCACGAAGCCAGGATACACACAAAGCTCAAATTTAGTATATATTTTGCATGCAACTGCTAAATACTAGCGAAAAGACAGCCATTATATTTACAATTTATATTATCTAAATCTGTAACCTTAATAAAAGTTATAGATTTAGATAATATAAATTAAAATATACTGTACAATGTTTACATGAGTGTAAGCTCTTGGACCGCCTCACCTGTCGCTCCTGACACAGGTCGTGCTGTCGACAATACTGAAGACACCACACGGGTTGTAGAAGAAGCTTTCATGTGGGGGGGAGAACAACGTTTAGCTCTACGTAGAGCTTTATCTAGTTATGATTTGATAGAGCTCTACACAGAGTGAAACGTTGTTCCAGTGAATGGTTGATCATCAACTTGCCTTTTTTTTCCTAGGTTAAGTTGGCACCTAAGAATGTGTTTCAGGGTAGACTGTTGTAGATCCTTCATCTTCTCTGGCAGTGATGACTTAACTAGTTATTCACCTACCATTCACAGATAGCCAACACTAGAGAGGAAACCATCCTCGACGTTTCGGTCTCCAAAGTGTGGGTTATTTTGTGAATAGTTGCAGCCACGATATTGCGGCTATTATTCTTTATTACCTACGACTTTTATTGGTAACATAAATCCCCTGGAAGACCAGATTTGTATTTCAGTTTTCTGTTCTCACTATTCTTGTCTCAATCTCCATTCTTCTCCCTATCTAGTTTACCTCATTAAAACTGATGTACGAAAAATTTTGTTTTAAAAGGAACAGTGTACGTTGTTCTCATGTGGTTTAGATAATAATGATTTAGATTGTAGAGGACAGATGGTATTAACAGCAGTGTAAGATAACTGTACAGTCTTGTGTACTCTATGTATATTATCAGGCGTAATAACATTGACTAACCTGTCTCTCACCTGTGTGTCCAAGCTAATGCTTTACCCCATCACTATCAGAGCGGGTGGGAAGACAGGGAGATGCCTCAGCCGTCACTAGCAGAGCGGGCGGGAGGACATGGAGGCGAACCGGTCCTTTCAGTGGGTAGCCGGGTGGTGGGTTGGAAGGTAGGCTGGCGGATGGGCGGGCGGGCGTTCTGACAAGAGCTCTGACGCCGAGGGCAGCGTTGCTTGCATAATTATGAAGTTGGGATTAGCTAATGACGACATAAAATTTGCATAAAAATGACGAGAGAGTCAGACAAGATTATTTGGAGAATATCTCCCGAATGCTGAGATTTTTTCTTAAATGTAAAATGTAGGGAGACTAATGTCAGAATTGGTTTATACGTTACATAGATAAAAAAAATAACATCAAGATTATATGAGAATAATGCCATTATAGGAGAAATGTAGCATTAAAATTATGTCAGATATGAAAATAGTGTCAGGTTACAGCAGCACCAGAACCACAGACTGGACTAAAATTACTGTGAGAGACTCTAAGCTGCTTACCACCAGGCGTCTCTAACGCTCTTGGTTAAAGTAGACAGTCGAAGACTCAACCACCACAGCATAGTAACTGAACATTTCGTACGATCATTCACAGTTTCTATCACAAAATAGCGACTGAACACTTCGTACTGGCATTCGCAACTTCTGCCACAACAAAATAGTGAGGGAACATTTCGTGGGCACATTCGCTCTAGGATGGAAAACCACATTCATGCTGACAGTGTGCAGTAAAACAGACTACGAGCGAGAGTTCAGACTTACTAGTAGCGTGTGCCGGTCATCACTCTTACTTTTCGTCACGCCACAAGCGATTCCGTTGAATACCATTTAGCATGACGTAGGAGCGACTGTGAAGTGGCGGTCATCTTGACGTATGTTCATCTGTAGAGTAGCAGCTAACACGAGGTAGGACGTAGTAAGAGGCAACGTATCTCTCTTTCGTGGTAATTCTCGCGATTTTTATTAGCGTTATCATTTATTATTATTATTATTATTATTATTATTATTATTATTATTATTATTATTATTATTATTATTATTATTATTATTATTAAATTCATAGGGAAGCGCTAATCCGTATGGGTCATTATCACGTCTGGGAAATAGGAGGTAATCAGTTTTGAAGCAGTGAACGAAAGGGTAGCTCAGATTCCATGGATCAAGAATCCTTCACCTGTATTAAGGCTTTCTGAATATTGGGTTGTAGCAGCAGGCAGTGTTGGGTGTTGAGCTACGCCTGCAGTGTAGCTCTCCCTCCCACAGGAGCAGCGGGTCAGGGAGCCCCCGAGGGAGCCCTACCCATGGTCGTGGGCAGAGCATGGGCAGGCCTAGGCACTTCCTGACAGTGCCCAGCCCCTCACGCAACCCTTCTCCCACCCTCCTGACGCCCACCAAGGTAGCACTACACCCAGCCCCTGATGATGTCTCGCGTCCACTCCTCAGGAAGGTGTGTCCCTGGCATCCTCTTACACACCTCCGTAACCTGCCGTGTTACCGCTTACCCCACCTCTGCCTCCTTTACTCTGTGTGTGTGTGTGTGTGTGTATCCTGCCGAATAGGTAAAACTTGCGATTTTGGCTTAAATAGCAACGCTCTTCTTGCCAAATAAGGCAATTGAAAAATTGTGTATGGAATAATTTCGCAAAAATCATTTTGAACCTAACGAAAAAAATATATTTAATTTTGTTTGCTCATTATTAAATTTTTGTAAACTTATCTAAAATATATTTAGTTGAATTAGGCTGAATTAAATTGTGCTTGTTATAATAAGGTTAGGTAAGTTTTCTAAGGTTCTTTTGGTACAAAATTATAAATTTTTACATTATCATAAATCTTTAAACGCATAAGAGAAAATTTTAGAAAGAACTTAATTTTAAATGAATTCCTGCTAACTGACCAGTTTTACCTATTTTCGGCACGACATATATATATATATATATATATATATATATATATATATATATATATATATATATATATATATATATTATATATATATATATATATATATATATATAATGTGTATATTTAACGTGTGTCAGTTAAGTGTTGCATTTACCGTTTTTTTTTTTAATTTTTAATGTTTGTGTCGAAGATTTGTCTGACGCTTGTTTGTAAAGGCGGAAGTATAACAAAACTCTTCCTGATGCTGTCTCTCCCTCAGCCGACTGCCTTGAAGAGATCTGCATGTGTTTGCTATCAAGGTTTAAAGCTGTTGTCTGCTGCTTCTTGTGCCACGCATGTATTCTTTTCTCTGAGTTTTGATTTGCTGATACTTTTCAGTAGTAAGTAAACACGATATCACAAAACAAGCGAGGCATGACAAGTTATAATGAGTTCTCAGAAGAATACAATTAAAAGAAAAAAAATCAGTAGACTTATTTTTACATAATAAAAAATGAAAAAGTTCGCAAATGTTTTTATAGATATATTGTAAAGGAGTTTATAGACACCAGAATTTTGGTCGTACGATTAAAATTCAGCTGTCTATAAACGCCTTTACGTTATACTTGTAAAAAACATTTGTCAATTTTTCCTCTTTATTATGTAAAAAGAACTCTTGTGAAAACATTTTCTTTTTAATTGTATCCTCCTGAGAATTCATTCTAAAAACAGCTTGTTTTGTGATAACCTGTCTGCTTATTCTGTTTTACAAGATGTTGGCAGCCTCCACACATCCCTGGTGCCCATCTTCGTCAGCCTTCGTCCAATAAAGCCACGTCAACGTGATATCCACTCTTGGATACCCTGAAATCTTTTCCAAATTATCTTCAGGTTTCTTCACTATTCTAATACTATTTTTATGTTTCTAACAGTTCTTAAATATCAAGAGGTCCCAATATCTCAGATGTTTTCAAATATTTTTAACTCTTCTTGCCAATTTAAAGGTTTCTCATTTTTAATATAAGTCTTCTTTTCAACTGTACCAAATTTTCCTCTCCTCCGTTCTTCCAAAGATTACATATCCCATCTCAGTTATCCAGAACCCTTCCCAGCTCTGTTTTGTCTTACGGTATTACGTATTTACAAAGTCTGCCAACTCATCTTACCTTTTGACTCAACGCGGACTAGTTTCTTTGTCATCTGGCAGTCTCTTCCGAACGTATATTGTAAGTCTTATGCGTTAACTTCGAGAAAAATATAATTTCAATCTTCACCTTTCTTGTTTGGTCACTGTTGCTATGTCTGCTTACACCTGGTCTGGTCCCTGATTGTCGTGAATGTGCTTACACCTGCTCTAGTCCCTGATTGTCGTGAATGTGCTTACACCTGCTCTAGTCCCTGATTGTTGTGAATGTGCTTACACCTGCTCTAGTCCCTGATTGTTGTGAATGTTCTTACACCTGCTCTAGTCCCTGATTGTTGTGAATGTGCTTACACCTGCTCTAGTCCCTGATTGTTGTGAATGTGCTTACACCTGCTCTGGTCCCTGATTGTTGTGAATGTGCTTACACTTACTCTGGTCCCTGATTGTTGTGAATGTGCTTACACCTGCTCTGGTTTATGATTGTCGTGAATGTGCTTACACCTGATCTGGTCCATGATTGTCGTGAATGTGCTTACATCTTCTCTGGTCCCTGATTGTTGTGAATGTGCTTACACCTGCTCTGGTCCCTGATTGTTGTGAATGTGCTTACACCTGCTCTGGTTCATGATTGTCGTGAATGTGCTTACATCTACTCTGCTCCCTGATTGTTGTGAATGTGCTTACACCTGCTCTGGTCCCTGATTGTTGTGAATGTGCTTACACCTGCTCTGGTTCATGATTGTCGTGAATGTGCTTACATCTTCTCTGGTCCCTGATTGTTGTGAATGTGCTTACACCTGCTCTGGTCCCTGATTGTTGTGAATGTGCTTACACCTGCTCTGGTTCATGATTGTTGTGAATGTGCTTTCACCTGCTCAGGTCCCTGATTGTTGTGAATGTGCTTACACCTGCTCTGGTTCATGATTGTCGTGAATGTGCTTACACCTGCTCTGGTCACTAATTGTTGTGAATGTGTTTACACCTGCTCTGGTTCATGATTGTCGTGAATGTGTTTACACCTGCTCTGGTCACTAATTGTTGTGAATGTGTTTACACCTGCTCTGGCTTCTGATTGTGTGGTGTGTTCAGAGGTTGATCATCTTGCAACTGCTGTTATGGTGCTGTACAGTATATACCTTCCTCGTAGCGTAAATGGTTATTATATTTACTTCTCATTAGTGTTTAAATGTACCACTAACTTAAGTATTTAGGTTACATATTGTCAATGCGTCACTTACGTACAGTAATAAATTAATTATATTTAAAATTAATACTCCGCATGATCACTGGCTTATGATTCGTTTATTGTTTAAAATACACTTTACGAACTTTAGTTTCACTCTCTTCTTGTTCAGTAAGCAACACTCTTATATCAGCAATTCTTTAAGTTCATTGCACTGGTCGCCGTTGCCTAGCGGTAAGAGTAGCGACTCTCATTGCTGAGGTCCAGGTAATAAACCCTGGACATTACTATATATTTAAGTTTACTATCCTTCAACTTTCGCTAGTTATTGTACTTCATTATAGCTTTCAATAGTTCCTGCTCCTCTCTGTTCTTCGGTTATAATTTATCACTTATTATTTCTAATTATTTGAATTTACCTTTTTATGTTATAATTTCTTAAATATTTTGTCCTTTGCGTTTATTACTTATTCCATCCCTCTCATCGCTCTGGGTCTCTAGTGTTGCTCTCTCGTTTCTGTCCTTAGTTATGGCTCTCTTAATTCTCCTTAATGATAGGTTTGTGGTGAGTGACCTATGCTTCTATCCCCAGACAAACTCGGTCAACAGTGGTAACTCGTGTGTGAGTACACCGTCTACAACTGCTAGTCTTCTTAACGGATCTCCCAACACCCAACTTCCACCTGCAGCACCACCCGGACCTGCCCGACGTCTAGCCCGCAGCCTCTCCAAGATCCTCACCCGGCGGAACACGTCCAGTATGCAGATGGCCGGCACTCATATCGTCATCACCTGCCAACAACCCTCCTTGGACGAGCAGACAGCCCTTTGAACTGTTCATAGATGAAGAAACAGCCTCTTTACGAATTTTTGGTGCTTCTGGTTAGCTTCGACCAAGCATAAAAACCTGTTATGCCAACGGTTGCATGTGTAGATGCTAAGAAATACCTGTATTTGCGCAGTCTTGGAACTGACAATTGTACAATGTGTGGATTTTTGTCGTGCGTTTTATGTTAAGATGATACATGCCAGTGCACTCTCTCGAATGTTACGTGTGAACAGTAAGAGCTCAAGCCACAAGTTTGCGCATTTATAAAGAAAAAATTGATGGAATGCAGACACTGTTTGAGCACAATTTATGAACTGTTTATATATATGTGTGTGTGTGTGTGTGTGTGTGTATGTGTGTGTGTGTGTGTGTGTGTGTGTGTGTGTGTGTGTGTGTGTGTGTGTGTGTGTGTGTGTGTGTGTGTGTGTATGTGTGCAGAAGTCTGGGAACGTATATGACAATAAGATATAAAAAATAGTTCTATAAAGTTACAATCTCTCTTCACAGTGAAAGATGATTCTACATTATGTGTATATAGATGTTGAATTTGGACCAAGTTATATAATAATGCACAGCTAATTTATAATAATAATTGGCCATTTTTCGTGTCAAGTATTGGGTTAAAAAAATATGCTGAGACTGAATCGTCTACCTATTTTCATACACTCAGAAAGTATTATGTATATATATATATATATATATATATATATATATATATATATATATATATATATATATATATATATATATATATATATATATATATATATATATTATATATATATATATATATATATATATATATATATATATATATATATATATATATATATATATAATATATATATGTTAACATTGGATATCATAAAACTTAAAAGGTTTATCGACTGTACATAATATTTGTATTTTAAGCAAAGTTATATCCAAAGAAAATATTTTGGAGAGTTTTCACTGAATGTGTATTGCGTACATTTTGTGAGCGAGCCTCGTCCAGGTTCATCTCGCACAAGGCTTTCAGAATCACTGTTGTTTGGCTCAGAAGTGTCAGTTCATACTTTACGAGTTAGGAAAGATGTAAGCACAGGGTAGTTCAAAAGTACCTTCAAATATACATTATACAACAAAGAGTCTTTGTAGGTCAGTGTCGGGTTCCGCTCGACGTGGTAGAGAAGTCAACGAGTTCTGATGTAGATGAAGACATGAAACACCTTAAGTCTTTATTATAACAATTTTTCGTTCAAGTTACATCAAGCTTTGTTATAACTCGGTAAATCTCTCCTTGAGCGAAACATTGTGTTATGTATCTTCATCTTTGGTTCAACATGAGACGTTGCCGTGGTTGGTTCACGGTGATGTGATTAACGATAGTGCTGCATCAGTCGTACCTCAGCTACGTCTTACAGTGTTCTGTAATCATGCAAGTTCCCGGAGAGAAATGTGACCGAGTGTATAGTGTGCATGGTCCAACTTGAGGTGGCAGTTTTTTTTTTTTTTTTGTCAGGAGAAATGGGAAAATTTTCCTGACGCAGGTCTCATGTGATGACCCACTTATGAAAATTTTGGTCGTATAGCCAAGGCCTGCGGCTGGTTTACTGATCCACCTCGTAAAAAAAATAAATGTCACGTCATAAAATATGTCAGCAGGTTTTTAACCTCGTTTAGAAAACAAGGAATCACCAGCCGGAAGTGCGCAAACATTACTGACACCCTCCTGGTTCCTGGGTTAAGAAAAAAGACTATTAACAGCTCTAGGCTCATTAAAACTGTATATCACCTGCGTGCCACCAGTAAGAATAATTTAATCCTTCATATAAAGATTAAAGCAAACTGACTCTGACCGCGGGTACAAATCCCGCCCGTGGTATGGTTTTTTAAAGCAAACTATATGTTGACAAAAATATACTTTTCTGGGTATATATGGTTGGTTTACATTGGGTTAAAATTCTGTTGACTATCAGAGTGTTACGAAGGCTACATGTAATCTTTACACCACAAGTCAAAAACACCTTATTCCCTAATTTATTTTCAGTGTATTTATGCCGAAACATACCTCTTGGTATATATTTATCTCATTCTGTTACAGTATGATGCTGATGAAAAAATTAGATAATGGACATATGTAATTTCATTACATTAAATCGTTTTGAATGACAAGAATAATACATTTATATTTTGATTAACGTACGTACTAGTTTTTAAAATAGTCATCTGTCTTTAGTTTAAACAGATAAATTGCACTTAACACAATAAATGCGAGAGGATAATCAATATTTTGCAAACGCGTATAAATATGATGCTTTTGGAGTATTAGTCAATACAGTTGTGACTGTATACACTTACAAGCTGAAATTATATTTGCTGCATTTCTAGACGTGCGTGAATTCTTATTCTGAAGGGCATTTTCAGGTCGAACAATTTGGAAGGATATCTGAAATTAATTAATTTCATACTTGACATCTCAGAAACCCTCCTACCTCATATGGGGAGCAGGGGGATGGTGGTAGGGTGGGGTTGGCACTGACCATTCTAAGTGTAACCGTGGCTGATGACACATCTGCACTACGCTACTCTGAGAATTCTCTCCCTGCTTTAGTTGCTCTCTTGCAACATTGCATAGCTCCTGATGACGCACTGAGAAGTGTGAAAGTACTTGAGCTAAAGATTTCCATCCCCCGTGGCTTGTCTTGTATATATATATATATATATATATATATATATATATATATATATATATATATATATATATATATATATATATATATATATATATACATATACATACATACATACATATATATTTGTCGAGAGACTCGGAAGTGGAAGGTAGAAGCACAAGTCGAAGATTTACCAGTGTACCATGAAGATTGTACAACATGCTTATGTTTGACTTGCCGTATTCGAATTTCTCGACAACTCTCAATAGAGGTACGATTGTTTATCATAGTTAGTCCAAATTCTTTGACGACTGTGAACAAAAGTTTACCTCGTCACTGTCAGTGGGGATGATATGAGGTCTCTGCAAAAACTTGCATTTAGTCAAAGCTGGTGGCTGTTAACATTAAATTTCTGCAGCATTTTGCTGCTTGCCTCCTTTCTTCCCTACACCTGCTTCCCTCCACTTGCTCTCCTCCACCTGCTTCCCAACACATGCTTCCCTCCACTTGCTTTCCTCCACCTGCTTCCCTACACATGCTTCCCTCCACTTGCTCTCCTCCACCTGCTTCCCTTCACCTGCTTCCCTTAGCCTTACTAACTACTTACCTCCTCCGGCTTCATTCCAAATACCTTCATTATGCTGCTTCTCTTCCTGCGGTTGCTTTCCTCCAGCTGATTCCCCCCTGCCTCCCTATAATTGTCTTCCTCTTCCTGCCTCCCTCTTGCTTCCTTCTGCTGCCTGGCTTCAGTTACCTCCCTCCACCTGCCTCTCTCCGTTTGCTTTTGTTCACCTGCTTCTTTCCACCTCCTTCCGTCTTGCTACTGTCTCCCTCTTATAACCCCCTGCTGCCTTCCTCATGCCTTTAACCAGGTACCTTCCTTCTGATGCCCCCCTCTACCTCTCTGCAGCTGCCCTTCTGCTCTCTCCCTTCCTCCCTCCTGCATACTACATCCTTCCTGCTGCCTCCCTTCATGTACCTCCATCCAGCTGTCTACCTTAGTGTACCTCCCTCTTTCACTCTTTAATTATCAGTTTTGTATTGAACACTCAACATTCCTCCCCTCAAACAGTCCCTTCCTAAAAGGGAATAAAGGAAATCTATTACTGTAGGTTTACACCGAAAGATGATTATTCTAAGTTGCATCTGGATCCTGAAATGTCAACTCAAACAATGGTGGTCATCCTTTACCCGTGCATGGACTCATTAGTCTGAGTGGAGAGACGAATCAAATGTAGCACGGTTTATAGATTAAGTAAGATGAAACTAACCTTGCGAGGACCTTCAAGGACTCGTGACGAAGAAGGCTGAAAAATAACCTAAGCTAGACCATCCCTGTGATACAATTTGTTAATTCGATACTTAAAATTCTGTAAAGCACGAGCTTGGCAGAAAAAAAAAATAGAGGAGTAGAACAAACTGCTAACAGCGTCACTGAAGGGAACACCGCAGGTAGTTTTTCAAAAAGGTTAGACAAACATATGTAGGAAGGTCAACACGAGCTCCACTGTGACCACAAAAGCAGGTTTTTGCGAGTAGTATATATAGGAGGCTTACGGTAGTGCTCTTCTGTTCCTATAGTTTCACGTAATTAATTTATATTTTACATTCTAAACTAAATGAACTAAAGAATTCATAAAGGATAATGTTGAAGGCATAATACAGTTAATGAACCACACATTTAACACAAAATGGATAAACCAGTTAACGAACTAAGAGGGTTGAGGAACCTCGTAAAGTGCATTAAAGCTGAAATGTAATGTACATTAAGAGCTTAACAGAAAGTGTTATCTAACATCCGAGTTGGCATTGTGAACTGTTTAAGACGTGATCTGTGCCAACATTGGGGCTTATCCCAATCCTTTAGACTTCGTGCGAATTCTCAGTTACAACTTCCGTAATGTTGCCGGGGTAGTCTAGGCGACCCACAAGCAGTGAAGTTGGCGGTTAGTTCTATAATATCCCTCCCTCTTCACAAGGGTCTTTATATTATGTGCTTCTGATGTCTCAGTGGTGAGAGCGAGATCCTAATAGTGTTTTTTTTTTTTTCGTCGGAATACAAGAGCGTCTACTAAACACGGTCTTTGTCACATGATGAGCAGTTAACGGTTAGGCTACCCAGGTTAGGTAAGGTTTGTCAGGAAGCAGGACAAGTGTCTCCTGTCACGGGTCTTAGTCAGCAGATGACCCTCCATTGGAGCTTTTGATCATCTGACCGAGGCCCTCTGCTGACTTACCGGTCTAGGCCACCCCAGTTAGGTTATCACCCTGTTAACCACAGTAGCGTCCTAAGATGGTGTAGCAAGCAGTATTAGTGATTGAATATTAGCTTTTGAGAACCAATGTCTTAAACGTTATAGTTTTTCCTTGTTGAAGAAAAGGTGAAAACTTTAACAAAAACCATGGATGAACAGGATAGTAGCAAGTCAGCCTCTTTATGACAGTAGATATGTGAATGTATATTGAACAAGTTCTTCAGTTGCTTTTACTGCTTAACCCTTAAACTGTCCAAACAGATTTACGTTTACATGCGTAGTGCTCCAAAAGTAGATCTACGTTTTTTTACATATTTTCAAATATAACAAAAAAAAAACGTTGATCAAAGTTTTTTTACACATTTTCAAAAGTAAGAAAAAAAAAGAAGCTCTACGTTTTTTTACATACTTTCAAATATTGAAAAAACGTAGATCTACGTTTGGACAGTTTAAGGGTTAATACGCAAGAACTTTGTGAATATAAAAGGATTTTTTTAATATTGATGTTTTAGAAATGGATGGAGAATTACTAAGATATTCAACAGTGCTCGTGTGATCATTGTGTTCAGCAACGTGATACAGTGTTATACGAAAACAAACATTGCTACCTATTGATGGTTCCGGGGTTACTGCCCCCGAGGCCTGGTCCCAGACCAGGTCCAGGCTACCTAGTTGTTGTCCTGATCACTCAGGCTACTTGTGCTAGAAGCGCGCAAACGCAAGCACTACAGCCTGGCTAATCAGGAACTGTCTGC